GGGCCTGGCTCGAAGATGGCATACTAGCAGGCCTCATCATCGGAGTATGAACTCCCGTCAATGGGGGCATCAGGTATGTGTGACGGTAAGTAGCGTAATCCCCCTCCTCAAGATGTAGCAAAGCATCAGTACCCAACATAGCATTAACGACATCCCGGGAAATGAGTACATCAGCAATCCGCATGTCGACGGGGGGTGCTGAGGAAGGGTCCTGAGAAGTGTACCCCCAGACCTGAGGCAAGAAACGCTCCCCCAAAAAGAAGGCCCTACCAACCGGCCCTTCGAACAGGAGCCTGTACCGGGAGGCACCCCACCCTCCGGCAAACTGGAATCGGAGACCCTCACCTAAGGGCGCCCAGGGCTGCCATGTAATCTGCAGATAACAGGTGCATAAACCAAGCAGAAATCGAAGATGTACAGGACAAATCAAAGATGAAAACGGAAAGAACTGATAGTTCTGAAGTACCTCTGATGAGCGCACCGTGTCAAAATACTGTCGCAGGTAAAGGAGAGACTCCCGAGGTCTTGGCCGGTGCTGGCCTTCAAACACAAGTGAGTACGGGGTCACGAGAGCTCCCGCTACCATCAACTCTGGGGCCAATGTCGGGAAATATACATAGACCCACAACTGTAGAAAACAAAGCAGAATATGGAATGCTGAGGGCAAAATACACGATACAGAGTATAAAGTGCGCCATGTGTGCGATGTGCAGGTAATGAGGGGCAGAAATGTAAATCAAAAGGGCAGAAAGTACCTCCCAGGCTCTCCAATAGCCGCCAAGTAAGTCCCCCCGTCCGCGTGAGGTCGCGCTCATGTAGCAGTAAAGGGTGGCCAAGCCGGCACCACCCCAGTCATACCGCCTGACCTGTGACAGGTCCACCAAGGCCCTCAACAGATAAAGCGCAACAGTGTTCCCTCTGTCGGCAAACAAAGTGGTCCCAAAGAGGAACATCAAAAAGCCGCGAGCATACTGTGCCGCCTCCTCAGGAGTCCCGGGCTCCATCTCTACCCGCCGGAAGTGGGAAGAGAACCAGGTGTATCGGACTCTCCCCGAAGCTTTGTCAACAGGCGGGCGAGCCCCCAGCAGATATATCCAAGCGGCCTCCCACTGGCCCATGTCCTCATTATATGGGATCGCCCTGCCTCCCACATCAAGGTCGGTCAATACAGCGAAGTCAAAAGGGGTCATAGTCATGTCTCCAGTGGCAGAGAAATGGAAAGAGTTGGTGGTGTCCCACCATCTCTCCACCAGGGCGGCCATCAACGTCCTCCTAGCAGGACAACGAGATAGCCCAGTACAGAAGGGCCCGAACCCCGCTAAGTCAACCAAATCCCGGACAGCCTCCGACATGCCATGATACCAGTCTCT